CCGGCCCTGACCACTCGACTCAACGCGACAGAGCGGCACATGGAAATGAGGAGTGTGAGATGAGGGCAGGGGCTGAATGCGTGAGGTGTCGCGACTTGCTCCCGTGAAGCAGCAGGCATGCGGAGGGACGACGGCGGCCGACCCGGAGCGCGGCGTCGAGGGGCAGGGCAGCCCGATGACAGATGACCTTGCTGCCCGCAGTTGTAGCATGTGATGCGGGCCCATGCCCGTGGGGAACCGTGTCTCCGCCGAGGCTCATCCTGGCGAGGCCGGTCAGTTGCCCTCCAGCTCGCGGCGTGCTGCGATGCGAAGGCCTGGTTATCCAGGACCTTGTTCTCCGGCGCGGCAACGTGAGTGGCACACGCCGCCACCTGCTCGTCCCGCTGGAGGAGAAGCTCCGTGTGTAGGTAGTGGGCAGCACGCAGTGAGGAGAGATTCGCCTCGTTCTTGACGTGAATGGTGATTCTTAACTCATGGGCCAGCAGCAACATTTTCTCAAGCACGACGGTGTCAAGGCCCACGTCGTCCATCCAAGGGTAGGCCACTTGAGCCAACGCCATCAGCACACTTTGGTAGGCGAGGGGGGTCTCGTCAGTCTGCCTCGTCCGGCTTGCAAAGCGATGCCTGGTTTCCGACGGGGGTCCGTACACCAAAGCAATCCGGTCGAGGGCTTCCTGTAGCGTGGAGCGATCCTTCTGCGGGATGAGGAGGAACGTAGCCAGGGCGGTGTCGTCCAGCGCGGAAGGCAAGGCTCGGAGAGCCACGTTCGCAGTCCACCCTGCCGTTTCAGCATTTGCCACGAACCGTCGGGCAAAAGCTGCCCAGTCTCCGCCTTTAGCCACGAAGATTTGAAGAGACGGCAAGCACTGTTGCAGGCCAGGAATGTAGTCCCCCGCCGAGGCAAGATGCGCACCAAGTGTGGCGTTTGTAGGGCCGTCGGACGCCAGAATGTCCGCCAGAATGTCCGCCAGAAGCGGCGGTCGCATCTCCGATGACGTGGCAGCCTCGGGTTGGAGGGCGGCAAGGGCGGAAGTGATGCGCGCCCCCTGGGGCACGTGACTTCCGGGGCAGTTGACGTCATTTCCTGAGGAAGTAGCGAAACCCCGGGTGGAAGTGACGTCGCTTCCGGCTGTGGCGTTCCCGGCAGCAGTGACATATCCCTGGGCGGAAATTATGTCATACCCGGTAGCGATTTAAAAATTTTGCGCGGGAATCCCTCGCACCCCAGCGGGAACGGCATTCGACCTCCGGCCTGGCCCCCCACCCGCAGCAGCTGGCCCACCCAGCGTGAGCCCGTTGAGGATGGAGGCAGCGACATGCAGGAGATCGGCCAGACGTGTGCCGACTGGATCGCCCATCCCGACGGTGGTGAGCTCCCTGACGGGCCCGGAGATTGCGGGCCCGCCGCTGCAGACCTGTCCCCCGAGAATGGCACCCCCGCTTCCGGAGCAGCGTCGGCATCGGCCTCCCTGTCCGGAGCCCTGGTAAGTGCCTTCTGTCTGGTCTCCATGTAGGTGAAGTTCTTGGCCACATCTGTCACCAGTTGTAATGTTCTTGTAGGGAAACGGAGTCTTCGTAGAGGCAACACGGTTTATTATATCAAACAGTTTACACTTAAACCCTAACACAAAGGGGTAATGGCCCCTTTCACCCACAACCTGGGGAGGTACAACCTCCGAGGTATCGTACCTACAACTCTGTCTACTCTAGCCCTCCGGCTGGCTAGACCTAGGGGAGGCTGACCCACCGCTGGCCCGGTGGGTCCCTGACCACTGGCCCGTCCGGACCTGGCCCTTAGAAGAACATCAGGCCGAGGGAACCTCAGGGTCCTAACCTCTCGACCACTGGCACCGCACTGAGCCCCGGCCCTTAAAAGGACGTCGGCGGCTTGGGGTCCAGGGTCTTCTTCTCCAGGCGGCTTCTGGTTTCGGCTTGAGACGGACTGACTCGTGATCTCAGTGACCCGCCTTATATACTTTCTCCCTGAGGGGCGGGGTTCTGGGGGATCGTAGTTTCCACCAGCCCCCTCCCCTCAGAGGGGTTCTAACCACCGTTGGCCTGACCGGTCTGGACCGGTTTCTACCCCTCCCTCTGGTTGTGGCACGTGTGTGTCAATCATGACCACCACATCAGTATGGTCCCAGTATTGTATACCGTAGTGTTCAGTGTTTATAGACTTAGGCTGACAAATGTATCCAGGTTTGGATATTGGTATGTGCCAATATTCATCCTAACAACTTTCGCCAGAGCAGAGTTGCTCTCCAAAACGTAAATCATAATAAACTCACACCACCAACTGCTCACACATTGCGCTGTAACTGCTGTATTTCACGTTAACATTTTATTGATTTGAAAGGTCACAGAAAGGGGAGGCCAATCACAGATAAGCTGGGCCTGACACATTTCACGTGGACAACCCCCCCCCCCCCCCCCCCCATTTATGCATATTTATCTTAAACGACATAGGCATGTTAACGTGTATTAATTACGGTTATTTTAATGCTTGTAAGAGGTTAGGTACGTTTACTTCACTGTCCTGGAGGTTCCGATAAGTGGCAACTTCCGACATGGCAGTGCAAACCACAGGTCGAGTAACTATAGACGTGAAGCTGCACGGTGGCACCTTGGCACATCCAGGGTTCGACTACTGACTCACGCAGCCTTTGTGGACTCTGCATTGTCCCCCCTGATTAAGCATGGGGCTCTCTGCTTTCCTGCCAAAGCTTAAAAAAAAACCCATGCTATGTAACCGGTGGCCAAATATCCCAATTCTGAAGAAAAAAATAATACCCGCAAATTGTTCCATTGGTATTTCCCATAGCAGCCGCGTTGGCCCCGACTTCAATCATTTGGCACCACCCTGAAAAAGTTGACACTCGGCGAGACTTTCCTGGGTAAACAATCGTAAGAATATAAATTAACGTATTCATTGACATTTAAGTGAAAAAAACGATATATCCATTGCATCACTGGTAACACCCACAAAACGCAGTGATATCCTGTTACAGTAATTGCGATGCAGCCCCGTATTCCTATCAGTCCACATTTCAGTCTTTATTGTAAACATTTTATTTTAGCGGAATCCCCCCCTCCCGCACACAACTGTACAATTCTTAAAACCAACAATGCGAAATAAAACATGATCCATACTTGTACATAACTTGGGTTAATTTATATTCAGAGTAGTTTCATTTACATTTATGCAGTGTAGAACTACGCGATGGGAAGTGGGTGCCTGGGCTTTGTCAACAACGCACGGCGAGGGCTCACGTGTTGAGACACTGACCATTTTACTTTCATTGACACTTAACAAAGACAAATGTGGTGTTTAGTTGTTAATGTAAGGCCCTATTTTAAAACTTTGAAACGTCGGGACGGCTCCCTCCCCTTACTAAGTTTATCAATCCGCCTCAGATGACCGTGACCGTTTGACGTTTAAATATCGAATTTACCAACGACAACTCTATCAAGTCGGCAACCTAGTGGCTTTGGAGATTGAAACGTATTTCTCACGAATTTGGGAATTCACAAAAACCTCCCCACTGTAACTTAAATTTTTGTTAGTCCATGTACCGCAAAATAATTCGTGTCGTACGGAGAATGCAAGTGACGATGCTCATGATCGGTTTGTAACAAGTATTTTATGGTATGGTTTACATTAAACTTTACCTGGAAGCATCTGACAGTTCCCCAGCATAGGTTCCAGCAAACCTGGCTCTGCTGATGAGACACTGAATGTTGAATACCGGTCCAGCGTTTGCGTGTTAATCCAATGCTGTTGAAAATGTGTACTTCCAGAAGGTCATGTGGGTGACTGGATGTGTAAAAAATACTTTTGAAACATTTTGTGGTGAAAGATGCTTATTTATATTGGTCTATGCAAATCTATTAGCAATGTCATAAGCAGACAAAAATGTACAGGTCAATCCAATATGAGTTCAGGTGAGACTTGTGAGTTGATGCGTCAAACTAAACTGGGGAGCGATATTCAGCTGAAGATGCTGCGTATGACCCAAGAACGTGAACATCTTAACTATGCAACTGCAACAGTACAATGGCCTTGTTGAACTCAGTTGTTTTCCTGCATGCTCGAATCACAAACTGGTGCCACAACAAAACAGAGGTGAGGAGATGCCTAAACCTATCATTGTCGCACAGTGGCAAGAAAAGTAACCACTGTAGCTTTCCAGCGGCTGTTAAAACATTAATTAATTCAATCTCCATAATCTGAACGCTGTGTTCTGGTAATAAGGCACTAATATAGAGTTTTATTTCCAGCTCCCATTTTTCCACGAGTGTGCAAGACTTCTCTTGTAAAATTAATACAATCCTTTACATATTTTTTATTAAAAGCCAAATTAAAGTGTTCCCTAAGCTAGTGCGTACCAACTTCTCGTTATCGACAAAAGTGTCTGTGAGGGTCTCCACCTTTTCCAGAGGAAACCTCAAAAATTGTGTTTGTCTTGGTGTCTTTGTGTCTCTCTCTGCATGTCTGCCTATGCTGTTCCCGTGTCTGTATTTTATCATCCATTCTCACCTGATGATGGTTGCTTGTGTTGCAACCGAAACGTCGTATTTTATTATTTTATTTTCTACGTGACTTTACCGAAAGAACCAGAGTAATTCCTGCAGTCACAAAAGCTTTGAATCTAACTTGTTACGTAAACAATATTCGTTTATCCCCTCTTTGAGGAAGCGAGAAAGAGAGAGAATGATAGGGGTATGGGGGAAAACCCACAGGCATAGCAGGAAAGGCAGCCAGAACCGATGTCAACATCAAATGCCCAAGCTCTGTGGTCCTACATTGGGATGTTTGGCCAACTTCAAGATGCCAGTTCTTGGACCGTCCGAGTCAAGCCTGGACGAGGAGGCAGGCCCAGTGGTTCCAACGTGGATCGCTGCTTCTCCCATCGCTTGCCGCTTTGACTCCGTGTCCTGTGAGTGGCCACGCGCAATGTGAAGCAAAAGGACCCAGTGGGCACAGAGCTGCAGAAAGCACCTGGCCGGTTTGTCGCCACGCACCCCCCACTCACTGCTGCTGCTTCTGCAGCCTCACCGCTGCCATAAGGTTCCTGGTCAGCGTTACACCGCGTTATTGTGTTTCAGATTCGACATTTTTTAATCGGTCAATTAAAATAAAGCCTTCCATGTGGCCGATGTGATGTGATAAACACAATTTAATATTTTTAATGTGCTGGGGACAGATATGTGAAGGGGGCACATCTGTGTATTTATTGTTACTTATATCCTGCTTAATGGTGCTTCTGATCATTCAATGGGAACAGCCATGTTCGGCAGTGTTGATCACGATTCTAAGCGAGGGAAATCCATGACAGTAATATGACATGGCATATAATCCCATTTACTTTGTCCCTGTCAATTTCCTTCACAAAAGGTAACTTTCAAAATCACCATTTAAGCTCTGTGTACAAACACTGTATAACAACCCCTTAGATCGCGCATCTTTATTAAAGCAACACATATATTTAAGAAAATAGTACCTACAGTGGACAACTGCCCTTTTTCAGTTCTATTGATGATACTCGACGACCACTCTGTAACATGAAACATTGCATTGGGGCCCTGCCATATTGTTCCCGGCGTCGTCTCCACTACGTGTGCCCACGTCTTCACCGGCGTTTCACACAAGGCCGGTCCCCTGGGACTCCATGGCGATGTGCCGAGCAAGCAGAGCATTCTCAAGTCGGCTTCTCGCGGAGGATCTGGTGGTAGCAAGCCTGCAGGAGAGACGAACGATCACTGCAGCAAACACTCACTCCAGCAAACACTCACACGTGTAGCTTTTGATAAATGTTTAAAGTATATTTTCTTTTTACATTTTGTTGCTATTATCCTAAAAGTGACCTTTCAAAAGCTCATTTAACAAAATTAATCAGTAAATACATGAGTGTACAGTTTGTTCTCTTATAACGCTGTAGTTGCGTTCCTGAAGAACATAATGTAATGGAAAAATCGCGTTATAATACATTATATAGGGTAAAGCGCAGTCCGCAATAACACGTCAGATGCATACGCAGATTGAACATAAACCTGGCCATAAATGATAGCCGAGCATAGTGGCTTATTGTGTGGAAATTTATAGCAGCCAAATACTCGAAGGGCACGTTTCTGTGGACTCGTACCTTGAGCGTGGTGAACATGAGGCCTTGTTCCCCGTGCTGCAAGAAGGGGTCCATCAAATCCTCGATCAGCTGGATCTCTGATCCCAGATTCCTGATCCTACACAGGCCAGGGGCAGCCAGACAAACCATTGCCATCAAATCCCAGCAACGTTTAGCCAGGCACCGGTGGCCACGTGATCACACCACTCGTGATGCTCAACCCTTACCCGTGGGTCGAGGCCCTCATCTCCTGGCTTGCCAGGGTAAAAACGGCTGAACGGTATAGAGTGTGTATTAATTTCCTCTCTGTGCAAGGATCGAGTGTTGCCCCCCCTCGCACGCATGGGTGTTTTAAGGCTTGTTCCAGCTTTCCTCCCATAAGTATAAACACTCACTCGCGGAGTTGACCAAACATCCCAATATAGGGCCACAGAGCTGAGGCAATTTGTTGGTGCCAGCCCTGGATGCCTTCCCACTCTCTCTCTCTCTCTGAGAGTGAGCAACAACTGTACACGTTACAATTTATAATTAGGACTGTAGTGTAAAAAAAAATCTGGATGGCTAGCCAGCTAGCTGGAATGCAGGCAAGTGCAGCACGGCGGTGACATCACCCACATGCCAGTGTTGAGCTAACGTCATGCCTCAAGCCCACTCACTCTCCACCCTGGCCTTGAATCCAGAAAAAATGCGTGGGCAGGGCTCGTTATTATCACACGACTTATAATTGATATACCTCAAACACAAATCTGTTCACACCACATCGTGACCTAACCCAAATTATTTTCCGAATCATAGCACTGGCCGCGAACACCGACTACTTGACTTCTTTATGATCTCACCGCTGAGAACGTGCACATTTCACTCCAAGTGAAAGGGAGGGCTTTGAGGTTATGCGTTTTCTGCGCGTGAGATGAGGAGGTGAAGGGCAGCACCTGGCACGCAGGACCACGAACAGGAAGACAGGGAAGAGGTCGTCCATGGACCACACGTAGTCGGGCTGCACCACCCCGCGCAGCGCCTCGTTGATCTGCTCAAAAGTGCGCTGGATGACGAAGAGCTTGTCCTCCGGCGTAAACGTTGTGCTGCACAAGACATAACATTTGTTCAGTTTAACACGTAGTAGTAGTCGGCTTTCTTGACCAATATCATCCACAACGGAGGGTTTTTTTGGGGTAAGATAGCGTAAATATGTGTCGTTAAACCCGCGACCACCTGACAGCCAATCAGTAAGGTTTGTCACGTGAACAAAACATGCCCATTAGTTACTAGTGTTGGAGAGTACGGTAATCCCATAACATTTACAATTGTAAAGCCATATTTACAATTTACAATTGTAAACATTTGTAAACATTTGTAAATGTTTGTAAATGTTTACAATTGGAAATATTGTGGGTTTTTTCTTTCCAACACACGACACATTTATATTTACGCAATCTAACCCAAAAAAAATTTGTCACATGGTGTACAAGTGGCACTAGTTGTTATTGTCCCACACCGGTGGGTTGCAAAAATACTTCTCACAGCCACATACATCCGACAGACCCTACGTTTTGCTCGAAACTATGAAAATTATCCACATAATTTACATGGCTTAACCGAAACATTATGGATTGTACTATATTGGCTAAACCAAGCCGATTTGCGCTGCAAGAAATGTCATATATAGCTTGAAATTTTACATTGAGTTAAGTTTGCAATATTTTCGATTCTTTATGTGTGAGTGGGGTTTTGTTTTGTTTACTTCATTGATGTACTTTGTGTTGCTTTTCTCATTTTGGTGACCCTGGTCATCACTCTTACAAATGAGCCTATCCTGGTCTCTTCAGTTCTCACCATCTGGTTAAACAAAATATAAAGCTGAACTTGTTTGCGAATACCTATTTGTTCAGATAAAGCAGAAGCCTTGCTTTCTAGAGTTTCCTCAAGTAGACTTTTACCTGGGCTCCCTTGATAAGCAGACACTACTGTGTATAGAGGGAATAAAGTCCAGATAAAACAGGTTATGATTCTTGTTCTCCAGTCATGTACGTACGTAGGTTTAAATCATTTCGTACCGTACGTAGCCAACCGTGCTAATCGGAGGTGCGGAACCGTGGAGCAGGGTGGCACAGTGGCAACACTTGAATCTCACAGGGAGAAGGGCCTGTGTGAAGATTATATGTTCTTCCCCCTGTTCTGCAGAGTGAGTGTGTGAATGAGTGTGAGAGTGTAAGCGGGTGAGTGCAAGGACCTTCATGATAGCGGGCAGGCCTGGGTAAGGCTGCGTGGCCGGGAATCAGAGCCATTTGTGTTCACCTTGGGGTGGAACAGGGATGTCCTCTGGGCCCTACACTATTTAGCATCGTCTCAATATGCTTTCAATGCTTGTACCGCATAAATTTCCATTTGGCACAGATATAATGGGAAATGCCTGGGTGCGGTCAAGGGATGGCTCCCTATTGGTCAACTAAGTTATGTATGCTGATGACCTGGTATTTTCTGCTCATTCTGAAAAGGAGTTGGAGACTAATGCAGAATCTCGTTTGCAAGGGTGTCCAGGGGTTGGCTGACACACACATAGCAACGTGTAGTGGCACATTCGCAAACATGTTGAGTCTATCACGTGCACTATGGCAGGCCTTGAGTGGTGACGTCATACAGTGGGTGAGAGTGATGTTGTGCGCTAATGAACAAGCACTGTACATCAAGACCGCATTCAATGTTTGCGCCGGCACATTCCACTCTCACCCACTGTACATTTGTAGGGGTGTTACGGGAGGGCAACAAACACACAAGGGGTGTTTGCGCCCGCACACGTAAGGGTGCCTACATCCAAGTCCGCAACGGTTAGCCCTGGGGGGCTGTAACGGCGCTGTGATCCCCCACGGCCCCACCCCTCGGGGGGAAGTTGCTATATAAGGCGGGGAGCCGGTGGGCTCGGGGTCGAGTATTGCAGCTTAACCAGCAAAGAGCGAAAACCAGCAGGATAGGCCCTGGGACTCCCCTGGCTCGCTGTCCTTCTAAGTGTAATAAAGGACTCTCTCTCAGATGTCGATCTCCGTTGTCCTTTATTGGGTTCGTAGAATCTCGTTACCACGGCGTCCTCACTCAGGCCCGCGTCCCTCCCCACGATCTCTCCACAGCCACTCGGCTGCTCCGATATGCAGTCTCCCTGCTGCTCCGATATGCAGTCTCCCTGCTGCTCCACCTTTCAGCCACACCGCTGCTCCACTCTCTAGCTTCACTGCTGCCCCGTATACAGCTAGCCTCCCACAGCCGCGCCACTCTCTCCGTCCTGCCCAGCGTGGCCTCCTCCTGTTTCACTCCGTCTCAACTCCCCTTTCCCCTTCCGGTTCTCTCCCTAAATCCTCTCTCCCACGTGACCCTAACTCCACCCACTCCCCACGTGACCCAGACTCCGCCCCCCCTCAATCCTTGCTCGCATTACATAAGGACCGACCAGGGCAAGCCAGCGGCACGGCCCTGAGAGCCCAGAGCCGATGCTCTTGTAATAAAGGTCGTGGAAGCGAATTCTGGAATCCGGTCTTTATTTGTCTTTCGTTCACAACACTCCTATCTTACTCCTTCACGCTGCTGACAGACAGCGTGAGAGGGAGAGAGAGAGACATGTGCGGCCACGTGGCAGCCTGGACCCCGCTCCAGCGTGGCCTCACCCTCCGTTCGTACCAGATCTGACCACGTGTTGTTTGTCTCCACCCCTTTTAATACCCGGGTCACGTGGTACCTTTCCACCAATCCTGGTTAACCTCTATGGAATCTTCTAGACTCCATCGTACGCTCCCGGGACCACGCCCCTGACTCGTCCCCCCATTGGCTGTGGCTCAAGCCAGCAGATCCAATCCTCTACTTACAGATGTCACCTTCCCATTAAGTCAGGGCCATGCCCCTAGACTTCCCCCCATTGGCTATGGGCCAGGACCGGCAGAGCCAATCATCGTAACGAGGTGTGATCCATCAGCAACCCGGATATATCCTCACATTACACTCTTGTAAGAGCCGATCTGGTTGGCTAAGGGTGCCGAGATCCAAGCTTGGCCAGAGCTGGATCAGCTAGCCTCCCCTAGCTCTCTAGTGGAGGACCTGGGAGCAGACTAGCCTGGCTAGCACTAAGGGTGTCTCCCTGTTAGACGGGTGCAGGGGCCGTTACCCCTTCAAGTATTGTGTACTGCCCTTTGGTTGAATAAATAAGTGTGCCTCCGACTACGTCGTCTACGTCTCCTTGAACTCACTACACATTCAACATGAAGGTGGCTCAACTGTTTTTTTTTCCTGACGAGTAACCACATGTAAAAACCCAGCAATTTTTTTTATTATAAATCAAGGATTTCAAAGCACAAGACACAGCAACAGACACTCGGCATGACAATAAGCAATGAAACTAAACGCAAAATATCTGACAGTTTCTGAATTAGCTAAAAAACTAAATGCACACAAGTGTATAAATACATTTTAAGATGTGTTTTTAAAATGTCCGCAGACTCAGATATCCTTATATATCGTGGCAGAGATTCATCTTCTTGGTTCTTTCGGTAAAGTCACGTAGAACGGAAGTAATAAAATAAAAAAAAATAAAACATAATAAAATAATTCTCACGACGTTTCGGCCACAACGCAAGCAGCCGTCCTCAGGTGGAGAACAGGTCCGTCAAGTAGACAGAGTCTGAATGTCACGCTCCAGGCTTGGAGCGACTATTTATGCTGGGATGGAGGAGCGAAGAGCGTCTTGACAAAATAATTTGCATATCAAGAGGAATTTAGCATATTTATGGGAAATGCAGATATGCGATTAGCACTACTTGTGAAATGCGTAGGAGGTTTGGCGAGGGGTTTAAAGTCATTATGCCCATGCATTATGCAAGATTAGCAGCATCAAAGGGAGGGAGTAAGGTCAGAATTAATAAAGGGAAGGAATGTTAATAATAAGGCGCTGCAGCAACTAATATGCTTATTGACTATACCTTGTCATATTACACTATGTTTTATTCTACCCATTCAACTGTATAGCACATTGCTATATATTCACTATAAAATTACGATACTATATATTACCTTATACATTGTATTAAACATTACACTTTAATACTATTTATTATTATATAATATGTTATACACTATACCATAAACCGTCGCGTGAAAGGTACTAAGAGGAAACAACGAAATATGTCAATGGGAGAATGGTGGTAGGAAGCTTGCAGCGGAGCAAATAATCCATTCCCTGCGGAGTGCATATCAAGAGGAATTTAGCATATTTATGGGAAATGCAGATATGCGATTAGGAGGATTGGCGAGGGGGTTTAAAGTCATTATATGCCCATGCATTATGCAGGATTAGCAGTATCAAAGGGAAGGAGTAAGGTTAGAATTAATAAAGGGAAAGAATGTTAATAATATGGCGCTGCAGAAACTAATATGTTTTTAGACTATACATTGTAATATTACACTATTTATTATTCTACCCACCCAACTGTATACCACACTGCTGTATATTCACCATGCAATTACGATACTATATATTACCTTATACATTGTATTAAACATTACAATTTAAACTATTTATTATTATACAATATGCTATACACTAAACCACTGACCGTCGCGTGAAAGGCACCAAGAGGAAGCAACGAAATATGTCAATGGGAGAGTGATGGAAGGAAGCCCGCAGCAGAGCAAAGGACCCATTCCCCGCGGAGAATACAGGATAGTCAATGTCAGCGAGTGGAACGCGGTCCGAAAGTCACCGTAAACGTGGATACAATCAGTTATGATCCGAAATGGTTTATTACGTCCTTCCAATGATTGCTAAGCCGGAATCCATCTTCTCGGTTGAAATTGTCTCTGTATTTGTATATGTGGATCGCCTCATGAACGAATTTCTCATGGGAGCCAGATGGCTTGCAGAGAACCTCTGTCTTGGTGGAGTCAATATCATGTGAACCCACTGAATTGTAACAATGATCTGCCACGTCTGAGGTGTTTGTCCTACCGCGTTTCAAGTCTGCTTTATGTTCACGGATGCGGTCCGAGACATGTCGTTTGGTTTCTCCAATGTAACTGCTACCATAGAGGCAACTAAGTTTGTAGA